ATGAAATTTTACGTAGATGTAATATGATTGTGACATATTCTGTTGAATAATTTGTTAATTGTCATAGAAGGCAGTAATTTGTTGCGAGATAGAGACATGCGAGTTTTAGAATGTTACACGTTTACATGAGAAACAAAAGAAAATGATAGATAGAAAATGAAAGATGATATGATGTTTGACATTGTGAGCAATATTTTCTCACTATGAATAATTAAAGGTAATGGACACTGAAAGAATAATACATTTTCGGAATAAATTTACGAATGAAATGATTAAAGGCATAGAACAGTCTATATTAAAATGCAAACTATTGCTGCTTATTTTTTACTTGCTTCTTAATACCTCTGTATACCATGGAGAAAATATTAAATAAAAATTACAGTGGAAATAACTCTAGCAATGCCAAAAACTGTCCTTAGCTTCTATGACTATCTGCATTGAACAAACATGTTATTTGTGAATAATCTACTATATCTGTACATTATCATGTAAATATAAATGCTATATACATACATGTATGTAAAAATGTACTCAGCCTTGAATAATTTATGAACGCATGCACAACATAATCTCTTTTTATGTTAAATACTGCACACTATATTGTTATTTTCTTTCTTAAATAAAATCTGATCAAATCCCCCATACACATATGATATTCTTTCCAAGAAAAATAAACCAATATTTCAATCAGAATAACAAAAAAATGAATGAATTGACAAATCAGTATATTAATCATGATTATTATATCCTTAACATTTAATGTACAATATTATGTACACACTGAATCAATAGTTCCATAATTTAGAATTACAATTACTATATTCTTACAAACTTACTAAAAAATTTAATGTACTAATATAAGATGCTGACTTACCAAGAACACCAAACTGTTGTGGAGTGAGTTTAACATCTCCATCTGGACCCCCTGGAACAGAGGATATAAGCGATACTCGATCGCTTATATGACTCCTACTGCTTGCTTCGCTTCTTCTTGCCCATGATGCTTGCGAAACTGCATCTACCAACATGAATAAAACATAACTATTCCAGATAACAGAAATTAATAGTAATATTTCAAATTATAAACAATTTCAATTAAAGAAACAAACAAATCATTCACGACTTAGTTTGCAAATGTTTTGAACTTAATACCACTCAAAATGTTTATAATTCCTACTTAGAATTTCATACATTGCATTAATAAATTACCAAAGTTAGAATTCTTTGCATTAGCAAATCTTTGCTTTAAGTCCCTCAAGGGTCTCCTTGAAGGAGGAAGAGGATGTCTTCTCCGTCTCTTCAAAAACTGTGCCAGGCCTCCCAGTAGCAATGATCCTCCAGTTAAACATATAATAAAAATCTGCAAAAATACAAGATACTAAAAAACTATCGAATTACAGTAAACATTCGAATATATACACATAAAATTTCTACGACGATCAACAACGTTAACATAATTTACTGAATGCGTAAAATCATTCTTTAATATTATGTAATGTTGAAAATACCGAATGTAAATATATTTACTCTAACCTCAAATGGAGATACTTGCTTTTTGTGTTCTAGATAAATTTATCGATGGCAGTGAAATTATGTAACGTCTATACAATGCATCCAAGAACTGCCGTGCGTTAAATACGGACATTGTAAATATCTTCGTTATAAACTTGTAGAAACAGAGATTTACGGACGGTCTCCGACGAAGAGCAACATTAATTTTGAAAAGAACACTGCACTAGGATTCGTTTGTGCGGCAAATATTCAAAGCATGACCTACGACTATGTTCATACGTACAAGAGACGCGACTATCAAAACATAAAGGTAGTATTGGTTTCTAAATTCGTCAATCGCTGCAATGGGAATGTACTCTAAGGATATCTATAATTGTGAATGATATCTATTTCTTTATAGTTACACTTTTAAATATAAATGTATCACATAATTTACTTTTCACTTTTTCGATAAAAATGATTGAAAACATGATTTCTGTTCATGTTTTTAGTTTGTCAAAAAACGGCGCCATTTTTAAACATTTCGTCATTCTCCACTCCGTCGGTGATTTTGTGAATGATAAAAAAGATAGTAATGATACACTAATAATAATAATACACGAAAATAACACTTATAATAATTGGTCAAATTGTACATTAAATAATACATCTGTTCTATAATGTATACTCTGTATAAAAACGTTAAAACCAGAAATTTAGTGAAACATAATATGTAAGAAACTAGATTACATGTTTTTTTATGTGAAACTTGCAGACGCTTATAGGTACTGAAATAAAGAACTGTTGTAAGTAGAAGATTGTATAAATTACAATAATGTTTATATTATTATAAAATTTTACTTGCTGACCGAATCTTCTAACTGTGAACTAAAAATGCATAATTATAAAATATAACCTTACTTATATATTGATATTGTAACATCATAATAAGCTGAATGAAAAACTGAATTTAATGTTTTTTATAATCATCATTAGGAACGATAATAACATGAATCTGCGGGAACCAAAGAAAAAACGACGGGTTAAAGTAAAAGAGCAACCACCATTCCCAATTGTGATTGGTGATAAAAATGAGTGGGTAAATTATACTGCTTATCTTACAGATGTGGGATCATGTATAATTAATCCAAATGAAATTGCTGCAGTACATTCCATGGTAACAATAAATTATCAGCATATATTTAACCTGTAAGCATAAATATCATTGAACGAATTTACCTTGCTTAGGGATATTTTGGCAAAGGTTCATTGTCACGTGGTTTTCCTTCATTTGGAAAAGCACGATATGGAGCACCTCCTGTTATAAGAAACAGACAATGGATTCGCAGACAAGAATGGCTTGAGCAATTCAATGAACTAAGCATAGAACCTAATAATAGTAAATCCATAAATATGGAAGAAAACAAATGTGAAGAGTCTAGCGCTGTAAATCTTGAAGATGAAAATTCTTCCAAATCTATAGAAATGGAAACTATACCAGAAATAATTGAAATAGATACAAATATTGAATCCTCTGACAAAAATCAAAAAGAAGATAAGTCATCCGATAAGGAAATAGAAATTAGTCAAGTAAATCTTGATTCAATGAAAGAAGATGAGGAATGTATCATTGTAAATAAAACTACTAATGAAAAGTCTGAGGAGACTAAAGATGATGTTGAGGAGTGCATTGAAAGTGAAGAGAAAGAGGAATCTTATTATGTAGAAGCTTTTGATTTTAAAGAAGGAGATCAATATAACATGAACGACACTGATGTTCAAAGTAAATTACTTATTTTGCCAGATAGTGATTCAGAAACTGAGAATTATTTAAAGAATATAAAACCCAAGGTTGAAAGTGAAAGTTTTCCAGTACAAGAAACTCTTCACCTTACATTTGAAGAAACATTTTTTCTTTTATATGGTTTAGGATGCTTAAATCTAATAGACTTCGATAGTAATTTGTTAGACATCGATAGTGCTTGGCGTATTTTTTGCAAAGCTGATAAAAACTTTGTACAGAAATATGTTGTATACCACTATTTTCGAAGCAAAGGATGGGTTGTGAAACCAGGATTAAAATATGGTGGAGACTTTTGTAAGAATTAATCCATTGTACTCTATTACCCAATTAATAAAATAAAAAATTAAATTATTAGGTATATTTGTAACTAATAAATTTTAATATTTTAGTACTCTATAAACAAGGACCACCGTTTTATCATGCATCATATATTGTATTAGTAGATGTTTTAGAAGCAGATTCACTGATCAGAGATGAAAGTAAATCTATGCATAAGCCAACATGGAATAATTTATTTGGATTAGAACGATTATCCGAGACTGCTGCAAAGGTAATTAATTTAAACTAGCTTTTTTCTTAAATTAATAAACTCCATAGAATTTTAATTTGTTTTCTTAATTTAGGAAATATTGTTTGCTCAAGTATTGTGGCCATCTTCAGTTTTACAAACTTCAAACTCACTTTGTGTGGATTCTTTATCAGAGTTTTCTGTAAGAGAACTATTATGGAGGCGATGGAATCCCAAGAACAATAAAGATGAAGATGATGCTGATTATGATTCATGGTAACAGTATGTGATACGTATTTATTAATTTCTGCAAATAAATGCATCTACATTATAGCTTTGGTTTACATTTTTTAAAGGATTATATACCTCATTTTATTGTTCTCATTGCTGAAGAAGTTAATAACTTTATTAAGCAAAAGATAATAAACAATTTATTATTCATACTTTATACATTTATAATATATTTCTAAGCTTGTTTTCATCAAAGAACAATAAAACTTATGAGGACTTTAATTGAGAAAATCTTGATTTATTAGGCACACCAGTCATTCGATAACGTTTTCTGTCTTGTAAATATAGCTGTTTACATTCTTCTTTGAACTTTTCATCATTGAACCATTTTGTCAGGCATGATTTTAAAGTAGAATTTTCATTTCTACATTTAACGACCATAAAAACATTATTAGCCGCACAACATTTTGAAAATTCTATAAAATAAGCACATGGATAATAGGATTGCATAACATATCCAAATGCATGTATAATAATTATTTTTAAATATATTATTACCCGCAACTTCTTCCTTGCATTTTTCATCTTTCGCTTTGTCTCGGATTAATTGCGGTATAAGTACATCTTTTTCTACCTTTCTCAATGTTGTATCATCGGGATCACCTATAAACAATGTCTAAACAAAATATAATATCAACAATATTTTCAGATCCGTTTACGTATGAGCATTCGGTCTATAATATCGCTAGCAAGTAATATATTTCAAAATAAAATATGTTGTGTTATTTAAGCGAATTATTAAACTATTTTTTCGATATTTCGGTTTTAGTAAACTTACAGCTTCATAACCTCATTTCATCGGGAATCAAGTTTAACTTAGTTTCCATTTTTCATATTTATTACCTTTACTTATTTTAGCTAGCGAATTTATTTTCCAAAATTACCTAAATTATGTGGTCCACTACTAAATTTTAGCGAATGTAACCCATTTTCTACGTTTTGGTTCACCATTTCTGCACATTCGCTTCCTACCCTCGTCGGAAAAGTTCGTGAACTGTGAAGTCTGTAACAGTCTGTAAACGGTAGTCGGGTCCCTCTATAGGCCGCGCTCATGATTGTGCACATTTGAGAGTTGTCAATAGCTGCTTCGAAAAGTATATAAAAAACGTGTTTGATAGTGTAGACAAACAAAAAAATATATTATTTATTGTCAAAAATATACTGTAATAGGTAAGAAAAGAAAGCAATATAATTTATATTTTTAAAATGATGTAGTCCTTTTCTGACGCGCAAGTGACAAACTTAACCTTAACGAAGACGTATGTACGTTGAACGCGAATGTTTAATTAACAATCAATATGTTTCCTGTTGTTTATCCGTGATTATATAAAATTTTAATATTTTCAGAAACGTTTTAAAAATAAAAGGCAAACGAGTATGGAGCGACTTCTGAGATTAGGTGGATGTATGCCAGGCGTGAATCAAGGACCTCCTCCTTCAGATGCTCCAGTTGTTGACACCGCTGAGCAGGTGAAATTAATCCCATTTATTACAGAAATGTATTTCTATTTTCTTAATGTTTAAATAACAATAATAAAATGTCCAACTGAAGTTTTGTGTGATATAGTAATATAATAGTCTATTCAACAATTAATTAAAGAATTATTAATATATTTCTACTTTTTGATATTGTTAGGTATACATATCATCATTGGCACTTTTAAAAATGCTTAAGCATGGACGTGCTGGTGTTCCTATGGAAGTAATGGGTCTGATGCTTGGAGAATTTGTTGATGACTATACTGTTCGTGTTATTGATGTATTTGCTATGCCTCAAACAGGAACTGTAAGAACAGGAATTGTTCTATATGAAAATAATTGTTATCATATATTTCTAGTGATTTGTTTCTAATTATATTGTTTTGTACACAATCACACAGGGTGTCAGTGTAGAAGCAGTTGATCCAGTATTTCAAGCAAAAATGTTAGACATGCTTAAACAAACTGGTAGGCCAGAAATGGTTGTAGGATGGTATCATTCCCATCCAGGATTTGGTTGTTGGCTGTCAGGTGTAGATATCAATACACAGCAATCTTTTGAAGCCCTTAGTGAAAGAGCAGTGGCTGTTGTAATTGATCCAATACAATCTGTGAAAGGAAAGGTTGTTATTGATGCATTTAGATTAATTAATCCAAACATGATGGTAAATACTTAATCTATAAACATAATCTAATAATCTTTTTCTTAATTCACGAATATACATAAATATATATATTTTTTTGTGTGCAGGTCTTAGGACAAGAACCTCGTCAAACCACATCCAATTTAGGTCATTTACAGAAACCTTCTGTTCAAGCTTTAATTCACGGTTTAAATCGTCATTATTATAGCATTAGCATCAACTATCGCAAGAATGAATTAGAACAGAAAATGCTGTTAAATCTACACAAAAAGACCTGGATGGATGGTCTTACGCTTGCTGAATATTCTGAACACAGTAGACTTAATGAAAACATTGTGTCCGAAATGCTTGAACTTGCCAAAAATTACAACAAGGTAAAGTATTAAGGCTATATTCAAAATGAAATTGAAGGTCTGGAATGTATTCAATAATTTTTAATTCCTATTTATAGGCGTTAGAAGATGAAGAAAAAATGACACCAGAACAATTAGCTATAAAGAATGTGGGCAAACAGGATCCAAAGCGGCATTTAGAAGAGAAAGTGGACACACTAATGACTGCAAACATTGTTCAATGTCTGGGTGCTATGCTCGATACCGTCGTATTCAAATAACTATTTCTTAAAAGAACATTCGCAATATATATTATTAAAAATATATACACTTTTTAAAATGTGTTTGTAATCTGTACCCAAAAAACAATAGACGCAATACACAAACGTTTTATTACACTTTTTGTTTAAATTGAACAGACTAAAAAATCTGGAAATATATATTTATATATTTTTATTTGATGGATTTGTAAAGTTTTACATACATTCAGTACATATATAACTTAACATCTGTTACAACGAAATATACATGTCAGACGTAAATGCTAGTATATGACGATAATGTTAAGTGATACAGAATTTGAATGTTTTGAGATGTCGGACGTTAATGGAAACTAAAAAAATAATGTTGTATTAAAATTATAAAGAAATATTTCATGATATTTGCAAATGCAGGTTTTTAACTATGTACAAGTACAGATATAAAATTCATCCCGCGTACCAATACACATCTTCAGCAAGGAAACTTAACTTCCATTTGTAAAAAATGATACAGTCTTACTGTAAGTTAAGTTTTGCAGTACATTCTAAGTACTTACTAAATAGTGACAGTTTGATTTACGGTCTGTACAAGTTTACAGACATACAAAATACATATTCTCTTCAATTTAATATGCTAATACGTATCAAAGAAAATTAAACTTTTCTAAAAATCAAATCCCGTAAAATCAGATTTACTTTTCGTAAATGGTCTTTCTGTTGAGGATTTGCGTCCTTATGAACGAGATCACGTGTTTCTTGTATAAATTTGTGGGAAGATTATTATATTCTGTAAACAATTGTTTACAAAACATAATTCCTTATTTTCAATTTGAATTTGGTCCTACATTATTTTTGTCTTTCTTCTTCTTCTTTTTATTTTTCTTCTCTTCTTTAGTCGGTGTTTCCTATAAATAAAAATATCGTTTAATATTTTATACAGTTTAGTAAAATTGCAAATAATCCTACCTCAACTGTGCCTTCAACATCCATTACTATTGAATCTTCTGATTCAGATGCTGATTTTTCTTTCCTCTTTTTCTTCTTCTTATCTTTCTTCTCTTTCTTTATCCCTTTGGGCGATATCGTTTCTGGATCATCAACCGGTTCTTTTACTACATCTTCTGTTGAAGCAATTAGTTTTGTCTCCTGCCATTTGCGTTTCTTTGCAGCGCCATCAGGCGATCCATTTTCATCTTCAGGCTGTGAAAAAACGAAATTTTAATTATTTAAACTTTGCAAAAACATAGTTATAGGAGAACAGCGAACGTTAACTAAATACCTGTTCAATTTTAGTAACAGGTGGAGTAGTAGTAGTAATAGTAGCAGTTGATGCAGAAACACCAGTGGTAGTAGTAAGTCCTCTTTCATCAACTACCCAATCTATAGGTGTGTTTTCATTTGGTTTTCCATACTTATCTAATTTTCCTTCCAGAATCATGCGTTTTTTTATGAGAGCTTTAGGCCCCAGGCCCCATTTTCTTGGATATTGATCCCTTTCCATAATGACTCTTTTTATTTTTGCGGCGATGCCATGGTCGCAAGTAGCCAACGTAGGAGATGTCATTAATGCTATCCCTGCAGAAATAAGAGAAATTATTTAGTTTCTCTGTAAAAACGAAAATATTCAATGTTTGAAGTACACTATAAATAATGTGTGGCTTTGCTATATTACTCTGAAAATATATTTACCAAGTGCTATAGCTTCGCCTTTTGTTGTTACTAATACAATTTCTTGATTCAATTCTATGCCATCGTCGTACATCAATATACCCGGCAACATAATTTTAGCTCCATAGCAAATAGCATTTACCTATCAATACAATTGCATGAGATTATAAATAAATGTTTCTGTACAGTAAAATTCACTTTCAAGAATGAATGAGGAATACATACTGCACTATCTTTCATGATAATTCTTTTATAATTTACAAGGAGACATTCTAGAGGTTTAATCACTCTCCTTAAGTATGTATCATCTCCATGGTGATCATATAACCATTGAGCATCAAGTATATCGTGCATGGTAACTATACCATCCTTCTCGGATTGTACTCCAGAACGGCATCTACGTAGTTCTTGCATTTGGCAACCGGTGCCTAAGAAGAGACCAAGGTGAACACATATAGTTCTGATGTACGAACCAGCCTCACAACTAACTCTGAACACGCCCATATGTCGATTTTCATCATAATCCAAGAACGAACTACTGAAGACCGTTCTAACGCGAAGCTGACGCTTAACTGCAGATATAAGTGGAGGCCGTTGAAACAGTGCACCACGTAATCTCTCCAGTGATTGACGTACCTACATCAATTGCACAAAATTAAGTTAGTTTATCAAAATGAGCAATTTTGATACATAAAATACTGCGATTACCTTTAGTACACTTTCAGGAGCAGAGTGCAACTTAAAAACTGAAACGTATTCTTTCCCAGCAGATTGCTGTGCTTTAGCTAATCTAGTTGCTCTATCAATGCACACTATTAAGCAACCAGATACTTTAGGATCCAATGTGCCAGAATGACCGGTCTTTTCTACTCTTAAAATCCTTTTTATCCATGCAACAACTTCATGCGATGAAGGATTGCATGGTTTATCTAAATTAATGCATCCAGATTTTATGTACTCTGATAATTCTCTATTTAATGGCGTTGAGCCACTAGCTAAAGGAGTGTAATGTTTTGTTCGTGTGAGCAGCTTATGGAAGTTCTGAAATAACATTAAATTCATTGTAAATTATCATTCTATAAAAATCATTATTATAAATGTACAAAAATGGTTTATTGTTTTATACACTGAGTTTCATAGCTGTAAAACATCCAAAAATTTCCATTGTTATACATCGTAGTTAATACAATAATGAATGGAGTATGCCATACTGAAGATTGCACCAAAATATGATATAAGGGATAAATTGTATTAATTAATTATATTCTTGTTTTATAACTATAATAACAATAATAGAATAGAACATTTGATTACATAAAAATACAATGCAAAATACAATAAAATGAAAATACGACAATAATTTAGTAATTCGGTTTCACCTCTATTTTCAATAAGTTCAAATGTTCGATTTCTTATACTTCCAATCAGACATTGTTGTATTGTTTTTTATACCTATCCATGAAAAATGACCTTTACAGTCTTGGTTCTACAGTTATAATACTGAAACGAATCAGTGTTTTGCTGTTTTTTTTTGTTTCGGAGTAAACATAATCTGTCCTTCTAAAAAGTTATATTGTTTCTTAATATAATTTTGCACATGGCATATTTAATTTATTATTATATTAACTCATATATTATTATTATATTACCTTATATATGAAAACTGAAATTTTTTGGATTTTAATTATGTATAGTTATATATTATATACATACATATATATATATATAGTTATTTATATATATTTATATAGTAATATACAATATTAAATTTAGTTAGTTATATAGTAATAGCACTGTATACCTTAAACAGAAGAGGCCAATCTTTATGTTCCATCTTTACAGGCGCATCAGAAGGTTCAATTTCAAACTTGAATTCCAGTTGCATCTCCCCAAGTGACTTCTTTTTAGTTTTCTTTTTATCTGCATAACAGAAACACAAAAGTTAACCTACAGAATTTTTGTTACTTTTAATTCTTAACATAAAATAATACAGTGTAGCGTCCATGTATTTATGTAAAAATTATTATTTTACCATCATGCGAATGCGAAAAGCACATGTAACACGCTGTACTTAAAATAGTATCATTAAACGGTTCTTTCTACGAACATAGGAACACGTGTCTACCGTTATGAATTTAAGCAACATTCAAATTGAAACGGAAATGTCTTTGCATAATTTTATACATGAAATAAACAAATCCTGTTGAATTAATAAGAACAACATGATACGTACTTTATTAAGTAACATAATATACATATTAATTTAACATTTACCATCTTCTGCCATTTTTGAGAAATGTAGAACGAACACGTGTGCTTCGGTAAACCAACAGAGCTTCGAACACGCGAGAGTGCCGGGAGTGTCTGCCAGTGGTCTGCTTCCTGCGTTCTCTTTGTGTTCTCTTCTAGTTTAACCACATGAACTACGTACAATGTAGATCCGTGGTATAAAGTGAATATTTTAATAGCACAATAAAAAAGGATGTACAGTAGCTGTTTGTTGTAGTTTTAATTACACATGCAATACTATAAAATACCTAAAAGAGATCATTAAACATATTAAATGCAGTGTACACATGAGAACTTTCACTTGTAAACGTACACATAAGAATATGTACAGTAATGGTTCTATTCCTGCACGCTTTTCTTACTCCCTAAACTCATGCGCACAACCATACGATTTTACTATGCATCCAATCCGCTGTGGATACTGTCTCAGCAGTGATTCGTCAGCCAATCAGAGTCATGAAAATTTCTACACCGACTCTCGTTAACGGATCAAGTTGCGGCCTAGGGATGTGCAGGAGTAGGACCCATTACTGTATGGTTACGTTCAAATTGTATGCACTACACTAGTCCATCTTGAACATTTGTTATGCAGCGACTGATTTTCAAATTCAACTCCAATTTCCCTCCAACTCCAACTCCCAAGTGATACATTTCGCATATCTGAAGCTCAAACAATGCAATTTTGTATATAAACTTAGAATGAAAAGTGACATTTGTTTAGTTATTTAGAGGATGATAGAAAATGGTGTGATGATTGTTCGTAGATGTTCAATTGCAATATGTATGCTTTGCTTTCCAAGCGGTGCATCGTTGTGCATTTAGTCCTATGAACAGCTCGCTGGCGTCCAGTAATAGTAAAGTACACAAATAAAACACAATAAATACAAAAAAGTATTCCCATGTCGAAAATCACTGCAAAATGTTCGTGGAAAACTTAGTAACAGGATTCTACCAATCGTTGAGAGACGACGTGAGTAACATTTTTACTTTCGATCTTTTTAATTCCGTTGATCTAATTTATCTCTATAGGTTAAATGCTCTAATTTCCTTTTGTTTTTTATTGTATTTTTAGCAACAATATAAGTTTACTTCAATGTTATCGTTCGGTTAACATTGTATTTTGTTAATTATATTCGAATTTTGTACTTTACTGATAAGTAAAAAACGTACATTTATGAAATTGTTTGTATTATTTGTTGACACTCAATGGAAAAATTAATTTACTTGTGATTATAATATTCGTAAAAATATAATCTAATAAAATGACTTTAATATCTTCATTGTAGAGATGTTTGTTACTGGTCAACTTTGATGTTGATGCAATTTGTGCCTGTAGAATCTTGCAACAACTTTTTAAAAATGATACCATGATATATACTCTAGTGCCCGTCCAAGGGATTCAGGACATGATTCATGCCTTTGAGGAAAATTGTGAGGAGGTAATGGAAATATAAAGAAACATAATTTTCAACAATAAGCTTAACAATTAATACCTATTATTTCCTTAGATAAAAAATGTTATTTTTATAAATTGTGGTGGCACATTAGATTTAGTGGAGTTGCTACAACCAGCAGAATCTGTGATATTTTATATTCTTGATAGCCATAGGCCCTATGATTTATGTAATGTATATTCAGAAGATCAAGTTCGTATACTTGGTATACCTGGTGAGGATGATGATGAAATTCCAAAATATAATGATATCTTCAGGGATGATTCTGTAAATATCTTTCATTAATTGAAATATGGTATATACCAAGCTTGCAATAAAAAATATATTATATGCTATTGTTTTCTAGTCTGATGAAGATGAGGATGAAGATTTAGAGAGTGAAGACTCTAGATCAAAAAGACGAAGATTGAATGAAGAAGATATCATGAAAAGAGCAGAACGAAGAAAATGGGCTGAAAATAGAACAACTGTCCTGTTCAATTACACACAGTACAGTTACTATGGCAGATCGGTATCTTAAAATATATACAACAAATAAGTGAAATGCAAATGATGCAAACATGTATCATCAATTTCACCATACTTTTTCTTCCTTTAGAGTGCAATGACTGTCTTCGAAATGGCATGGAATATGTCAAAAGACAATTTGGATATGATTTGGTGGGCTATAGTTGGCTGTACAGAACAGGCCATTCTTGGCAAGATAGAAACGAGATTGAGCGTTATTGAAGAAGGACGAATTCATTCTCATGTATCTAGATTAACGCATAAACAAGGAGGTGACATTGAGAATCAGAAACAACAAAGTATAGTCCGGATTATTTATGATAAAGAGTATCCTTTATCAAGATCATATTCAATTATGTTGAATTTTTCGGATTTGTATTCAACTTACAAGGAGTGGTCCTCAAGGATGAAAGATTTGACACAATGATGAAGCTTATAAAGTTGAATTCACTTTGGATGCAGATGGCTTATATTTCTAAGACATGTAATGTTGAAGATGTTAAGAAAGATGCGCAGGATTACGGCGCGAGGCACTGTTCGGCAGGAACACAGTAACAGAAATATTAAGGAGTGGGGAAAGATAGGAAGCTCGATCTGGAACCGACGCGGCGGCGCGCTCCCCTCCTTCTACCTTACGGTGTCCGCGCCGTAATCCAGCGCATCTTTCCGACCCTTCTTTTTCTTAATTCTGGCCTTTTTTATTAACAAATTTAATATTAAATATCTCTAAAACTATAAGCTGTCTGCACCTAAAACCGAATATCATTGGATTCAGCTTTATAAACTCTATCACTGTGCCAAATCTCATCAAAAAGTGAATGTCACCTCTTGGGACCTCTCCTTGTTAGAATAATATTATTCCTTATACATAAATTATAGTCTCACGCTAGCGTTGTATCGGCACTGGACCGTGGAAGCTAGTATGAGGCATTCAGTACCAACTGCAGTATCACTGAGATTGTGGTCAGTTAAAGGAGAGCAAAGATTAAAGCAGCTTCTAGCAGACATGGGTTTGCCTTTAGCGCAGTCGAAGCAACGATTTTCTGCAATGGACCTGGCGCTTAGACAAGAGTTCAGAGAAACGATTGCAAAGTTCGCAGGAAAATACAAAGTAGACACGATCATCGGCACAAGTTTTACTCTTCAGTATGGTTACAGATTCAAGTACTGTGCCTCGGACATAGTTTATGCAATGCTTGCATTAATAGAATCTTCTGTAAGTCAGAAACTATCGTGCATTATTAACGTTAAAATGTTGAAAATTGTTGCTCACGTTACCGTTTTGATTTTACAGTCAAAAGATAAGTTACCACAACGCTGCTTTTTGGATGCTTTAGACTGCTTATCGCGCACGAAAAAAGAGATTTTACAAACTGGTATAGAAAAAGCGAAACTTATGCTTAGCAGTATCTTTAAAACTGCCCAGAGCATTTTGCAAATGAAACAAATTAGAAGCGCTGGCTCGTTTCTTTATGTAATTATACCCGAAGGAAGCGTTGATAATCAAGTGTTCGCGCATCCGCATTCATTGTTGATGTTAGCTCAGTTCATTTTAAAAGCTTATGTCGACTCCACGAAAATTAGAAGAGCACCGGAATGGCCGCTTGTTGTCTCTTCAGTATGTAATGCAGAAACTGGTACATGTCTGATGGTTGGTATACCACCGGTATGCGAAGATCAACCAAGGAGGTAGATGTTTATTGAACCATCATTGAATCGTAAATATATTTCATTTAATTACAATAATGTTCATTTATTACAGTCTATTCGGAAGAGCCTTCGAGCAAGCAGCTAAAAATACAAATTGTTATATAGAAGCAGACTACTTTGATACTACAAGTAAGTATTGTTCGAGAATTTCACGATTTTTGTTTTTAATAATGCTTTCGATTATTGAAGAGAACGTCTCTGTTTGTTTCAGTACTAAGACTGAAAATGGAAGAAAGACCAAAATTTATGGACGCTTTGGCAGCTCTCCTAGCGTAAAATTTTTTATGATTTAATTGACGTATGAAAATAAGAATTCTTCGGTTATTATTTATTTTGTAGATAAAACTAGTATAGATAGCGGCAGTTATGACTTTTTAAAAAATACGGCGACGGGATTGCTTCAATGTGCTTTATTTTTCGTGACATGCCGGAACTCATTCATAAAACTCGACTTAGTAATATTCATTTTAACTCTAATGACACGTAGCTTTAATCATACTGTAGATATGTGTATAAAGTACAGTTTATTGCAACGTATATCGTAGAACATTTTTGTTTTCATACGGAACGCCTAATTGAAAATACCGATTGCGTTAAAAAAAGAAAGAAGAGGAATAGCACACATCAAGAGAATGCGAGACAGAATTAAACTATACTCGATAAACGAAAAACTGTACCTATGAAAACGTAAACCACGCGAGTGAATCGATTATCGGTATAATATGCGTGTAATGTAAAGAAATGTGACCATATAGATATACTTTTTATATAAAAATAACTGAACGTAGAAAATAAAACGAAAGAAAGATCACGAATAAAGCTGTTCGATTTTTCGTATCCGTTTATTCTTCACTCTGCAAAAGTTCTGTTAAACCTTAAGACACGAGATTCTACGAGAATCGACGACCATTCTTATTTGCCTGTACGGTGGAACAGGATGGACGAGCATTTCTGTATCCCGTACTACACGCCCGACACGTGTGCCCGTTTTGGCGATCATTAAATAATACATTACAATATATTAAACATATCCGTGCGCATGTGTACACTTGAAAATACAATTCGCTCAATTTTTATTGACTATGATATATATATAATACATGTCTTTTGGTTACGTCCACAAGGGGTGTACGAATACAGGGCGCAATTTCTGCGCGGGATATCCTTCCTACTCAAAGGAGCAATGGTATCACAGAGATAGGATTGAGAAGAGAGGACTTGGGGTTTCTTTATTCGGTGGTTGTATAATGACCACGTAAGAACCTAACTGCTCCTTCTTTCACGTATGATTTTCAATATAATTTGTATAAAACTTTTCATCCGTCGATTCGTCACGGATTCAAGTAGAAACGTGGTCGGTTTTGTCAGTTTTGTGGACCGTGGTGATTTTGTTTATAGGCAATTTGTCGTTACGGAACCCGTCTATGAATTGTTGTACAGAATCCACGGTGATTTCGGCGCCGTCCTCCATCACGACGTAAACTCCTCGAGGTATGTCGATCGCCGTTAGAAGAGGCACAGCATCGTCTAGTCCCACGAATTCCCGAAGGATGTCCGACGTTTCACCCTTCAAGAATGATCATTCTCCATAGAAAGCGATATCGATGATACCTCTCATCTATCGACTTACTTAGAACGATACTCACATCTAACGCTACGTAAAATTGCAAAATATCATCTGGATCATCATAATTTGGATCATAGTCAGGTCTGTCTTTCCTGTACGCTTGTGCAGCAGGCAGGAGCACGCCCTCCGCGAATTGTATCTCGCAGTCATCACCTTCTGTCGAAATAATAGTTTTCGTTATCTACGGTAGTTATCAAAATGACAAGTACAACCCATGAAAACAAACAATGTTTCGGATGAACTCACCTACAAAAAGTATGATAGCTGGTGCGTCGTGCAACGAAGTTGCATATTTCTCTGTTAAGATATTTACCAAACGACTGGTCCATGGAAAATTCTGGAAAATAATGGAAACATAATTAGTGTGACAGAAACAACGGGAAGTTAATTCGTGATACTTTAAGGATTCGAATGAGTGGCAGCCCGAAGATGGCCGTAGTTGGAAGTGCTCGGAGAAAGATTACTTAATTGAGAACTTCTAAGTAGAAATTCCACAAGACATTCAAGAAAGTTTATATCTACCAGTCCTTCAGGATCCTCAATCAATTCCGCCCGACCATCTAAAGTTATAATATTATCCCGGGGATCGAGTATCACTAAAGTTGGTATTGCTTGTACGTCGAGGGCTCTCGCTAATTTTCGTCGTCTTTCCTCCTGACTAAAAGGTATCCTCAACCAAGGCATCGATTCAATATAAACGTTATAAGACTCTTCACTCCTGCGAACACATTGCATCTCGATAAAAAAAATGCGCCAATCAAGATGAATCAATTTTTTACATGGTTTTTTACATCAGTAAATTACATCAGTAAATTTACATGGTTTTTTTACATCAGTAATCAATGTTTATATTACAATAATTCATTTCATAGTACTTACTATATTTTCTTCGTACGTGTAGTATTTTATACTTTTCATATTATGAAGTCAAATATAAATTGTCTTACCTATCCGAACTCACGAAGATCACTTCGAAATCGTGGCCCCTCTCCCGAATTCGCTGATACGTGTCCACGAGTTGTGGAGTGAATGCCTTGCAAGGGGGGCACTAGGATAGCAAAACAAAAAAAGGAAAAACAATATACATAAGTAAATATTTCGGTTATAAGAAGATATCCTTTGTAAAGAAAACTCTGTATACCCAGTGTGCGCTAAAGTAGACACCCTTGAAGCAATGTCGCAATTCTTCGTGCAACATGGGCTCGTTGGAGTCGCGAGCTCCGCATGGTAATAAAGGACCATCCTCGAGAGCTGCCTTCGGATGCGGAGGTTTCCAAGGGAATTCAGCTCCGGTTGGGTCGCCAATGGTCCGTTCAACACCCCCTCGGGTCACCACCGAGCCATTTGTGCCGTCCAATAAAATTAGAGTCGGTACACCGGCCTTTATCCGGTACCTCCGAGTCAACCTGGTCTATAAAAATCGAAACGAAAAGAAAACTCGGATGATACTCGATCGCCTGCGAGAACATTTCAGCATTGATCCTTGAGGATCCTTCATCAATATTCATCCTGAAGGGCTTTTAATCGATCTGATACAAGTATCGCATAGTCCTTGGGGGGCTTGATCGAAGTCGGAAATGCGGCGAATATGAATAATAAAATTGTACGTTGAGCTGTTGCGATTTCCGACGATCTTCCTTGTACGTATAATAGCTTAAAATACACAATCACGAATTGAATAATTGAATAAGAACCGATTAATATTCGATTTTGAAGAGATCGCGGAATGGAATCGACTAAATACGAATGTTATATCTTTATGGAAGAAGAGAATTAACAATTTCACTAAAACGATTTTAACGATTTCATTTCATTTGGAAATATCGATGAACGTTTTCGAATGAAAGGCAATGTCTTAGATGAATAGTTATAATTAATTAATAATTAATAATAATTATGGGCTACTTATAAATATATTCATAAAACCTTTCGATTCGATTTTGATATTTCTATATTTATATTTTAAGGTTACAGATACAAAGTATATTTAGGGGATGTTTCCACCCTTCCAACGAGGATAACTCTCGATAAAAGCATTTATGTCAAATATTACAAAGAGTTGTCAACTGTATACAATATATGAATAAACTTATTGTTGTATATTCTATCTTGTCAGATTCTGCATAAGAAACTGTGTTTAATGCCAAATCGAATTTAAAGATTTTTTGTGTATGTTTATCTAAAGTATTGCTTCTGAAACGAAAACGTTTAACGACATATCTGAAACAACGAAATACAATTATGTACGAAAATGAAACGAAATCGTTAATACTTCTAAGCAAAAGATCCTGTAATGTCCATAGTTAAGGACCACGTTACTGTACAAAGTAGAACTGCAGCAAATTCTCTCCAATTGTCCCTCAGCTTGTAAACAAAAATGGACAATTTGGGAGGAGCAAATACGATTACTTTATAGTCGCCAATTGTCAACAATTATAAAAACGAGCCGCGAGGTTCGAATAATCGCATCTCCTCTTCCCATTTTCCTTCACAAGCCGAGGGACAATTGAAGAGAATTTACTGTAATCCGAAAATGCCCTTTATTTCAGAAAAGCACAAAAGACGTAGCCGAAGGCTGCCTGAAACTCGGTGTCAGCTGTAAACACGAAAAATCAAGTTAAGCCGCTTGGAAAAAAGGAGCAATTCGGCGGCGGGTGTAATTCGGCAAGATCGATCCGGCGATTTCTGGGAATGCCATCNCTTCGAAATCGTGGCCCCTCTCCCGAATTCGCTGATACGTGTCCACGAGTTGTGGAGTGAATGCCTTGCAAGGGGGGCACTAGGATAGCAAAACAAAAAAAGGAAAAACAATATACATAAGTAAATATTTCGGTTATAAGAAGATATCCTTTGTAAAGAAAACTCTGTATACCCAGTGTGCGCTAAAGTAGACACCCTTGAAGCAATGTCGCAATTCTTCGTGCAACATGGGCTCGTTGGAGTCGCGAGCTCCGCATGGTAATAAAGGACCATCCTCGAGAGCTGCCTTCGGATGCGGAGGTTTCCAAGGGAATTCAGCTCCGGTTGGGTCGCCAATGGTCCGTTCAACACCCCCTCGGGTCACCACCGAGCCATTTGTGCCGTCCAATAAAATTAGAGTCGGTACACCGGCCTTTATCCGGTACCTCCGAGTCAACCTGGTCTATAAAAATCGAAACGAAAAGAAAACTCGGATGATACTCGATCGCCTGCGAGAACATTTCAGCATTGATCCTTGAGGATCCTTCATCAATATTCATCCTGAAGGGCTTTTAATCGATCTGATACAAGTATCGCATAGTCCTTGGGGGGCTTGATCGAAGTCGGAAATGCGGCGAATATGAATAATAAAATTGTACGTTGAGCTGTTGCGATTTCCGACGATCTTCCTTGTACGTATAATAGCTTAAAATACACAATCACGAATTGAATAATTGAATAAGAACCGATTAATATTCGATTTTGAAGAGATCGCGGAATGGAATCGACTAAATACGAATGTTATATCTTTATGGAAGAAGAGAATTAACAATTTCACTAAAACGATTTTAACGATTTCATTTCATTTGGAAATATCGATGAACGTTTTCGAATGAAAGGCAATGTCTTAGATGAATAGTTATAATTAATTAATAATTAATAATAATTATGGGCTACTTATAAATATATTCATAAAACCTTTCGATTCGATTTTGATATTTCTATATTTATATTTTAAGGTTACAGATACAAAGTATATTTAGGGGATGTTTCCACCCTTCCAACGAGGATAACTCTCGATAAAAGCATTTATGTCAAATATTACAAAGAGTTGTCAACTGTATACAATATATGAATAAACTTATTGTTGTATATTCTATCTTGTCAGATTCTGCATAAGAAACTGTGTTTAATGCCAAATCGAATTTAAAGATTTTTTGTGTATGTTTATCTAAAGTATTGCTTCTGAAACGAAAACGTTTAACGACATATCTGAAACAACGAAATACAATTATGTACGAAAATGAAACGAAATCGTTAATACTTCTAAGCAAAAGATCCTGTAATGTCCATAGTTAAGGACCACGTTACTGTACAAAGTAGAACTGCAGCAAATTCTCTCCAATTGTCCCTCAGCTTGTAAACAAAAATGGACAATTTGGGAGGAGCAAATACGATTACTTTATAGTCGCCAATTGTCAACAATTATAAAAACGAGCCGCGAGGTTCGAATAATCGCATCTCCTCTTCCCATTTTCCTTCACAAGCCGAGGGACAATTGAAGAGAATTTACTGTAATCCGAAAATGCCCTTTATTTCAGAAAAGCACAAAAGACGTAGCCGAAGGCTGCCTGAAACTCGGTGTCAGCTGTAAACACGAAAAATCAAGTTAAGCCGCTTGGAAAAAAGGAGCAATTCGGCGGCGGGTGTAATTCGGCAAGATCGATCCGGCGATTTCTGGGAATGCCATCCCGATGGAGGAGCGAAGAGGAGTACACGCCGAGAAGGAAGGGCAGCAGAGAAAGAGGAATCGAAGCCCATCGATGGCCGCGACGCGTGAGTGGAATACAGGCGGATAAGTGAGTGGATCCGTCGTGGGCGTAAGTAATTCGAGGCACGTAGCTCGCCTCTGTTTCTTCCGTTATCCTTCCTCCCCCGCGCGATACGAGATTCAACCACGGCAAAAAGGGCGCAACGAGTGTCTGCGGGGGAGAGTAATGTCTGCTGACAATGAGTGCCGGTGGTCCCTCTCTCTCCCCCTGGCCAGTGCCAGCGCCGGCAGAGCATGATTACAGGCGGTGGAAGAGGCCGAAAGAAAGGGAAGGGTTTTCGAGAGCGTGATACTAGAAACTGGCAGAAAGCTTTCTACCGTGCTCTGGAGAAGATAAGGACAGGGACGGAGGAGGCCGTGCACACGAAAATACCGTGCCGGGACCGAGCGCGGCGGGGCAAGGGACGCTGGCTGGATTCCCGTGTCTTCCTAGATAAGCAATCAACCCTTTCAACGCGCGTGTCTGAACGCGGAGCACCGTATTACCGACTTTTTAGCGGACCAACCGAACGGGAGCTCTTCTCTCCGTCTCTTCCCGTAAAACGATCGGGAATGGAAGAGTCTGCCGATAATAAGTACCGTCTCGTCTCGCGTCTCTTCTAGCAGACTGCACGGGCACAGTAGTATCAGCCATGGAAACAGACGATAGGGGGGAAAAAAACCGGGAAGCTTCTGTTCCGACGGCGATAAAGGAGAACGACTCCTCCGAGTTCTTTCGCTTGTTTTCCCTCTTTTTCTCTTTGATGCCGTGCCGTTTCTTTCCCGCATTTTCTCTTTGCCGTGATGCTGTTTCCTTCCCACTTCAGACCTCACTCGGGGGTTGTTGCTTCGGCTTTCTTCTTTTCTTGCGATCTCGCGAGATGAAGTCGGTGACCAGCTGCCGGGGCCGTTAGGCGTCCTTCTTACGGCTCGCGAAATTTCAAACTGCTCCCCGCGATGGCCACCTTCCACCGGCTTCTCTAATATTCGATGGATAGGGGTGGACGGTCCGAAACTCGTTCTCCGTTCTGGTCAGACGAGGATCGTTGCGTTTGGGGGATTTCGTTCGGTCGCTTTCGAGAATGAATTTAACATTTAGCCGCAGGATGGTCCGAAATTTTCTGGAACTTTCGTCGGAGACTTTTCGTTACGAGAAACGTTGGAAGTCTGTTAGGAAGAAAACTATCGGGTGGAGAAATTAATTTGGAATCTGTTCGAACGAACTGGGCATTTATTTGGAGAAAAACCGGGAACTCGATGGGACTATTGAAGACTCCGTTACCAACGTCGCCGGAACTATATCTAAATCGTATTGTCTTCTTTGGTCGCGCTGAAACGAGGAGAGAAATTAATTTGGCATCTTTTCAAACCGGTTTAGGATTCGTTTGTAAACGAAATCAGGGATACGATGTAGTGTGGGAGACAACGTTGCACCCGATATCGCTAATATTCGCCGTACAACGGGTGTCCAAACTGAATTGTGGCGAGACGTTCATTCGGCGGCTTTCGAGACTAAATTGGCATCGGCAAAATGATGTTCGAATAACTGGAATAGAAGATAATCCAGTGGGGCAAAGTTCAGTGACCGAACTGCGTGAGACATAAAATAGCGATAAGCTGTGCAATCGCACGTTCTGCGACATAGTCAGCGTTTTCAATATTTCTAATCTGTAATTCAACGTGGAAGGAACAACGTTTCCGACATTTCTCCGTTAAACTATGTTCGAAAATGTTTGAACTCGCGGCAAATGAACATTCTTTTCAGAGTACAAATATTTTTGGTGGTATCCGAATGAACGAGAGGGGAGTCGCGAACTTCAGAGCCACGACAGCGAAGAATCGTTTTAGCGCAGACTGCGGCGACGCTGCACGCCGATAAACAAGCAAAGGAATTACTTCGGCGACGATAAGTTCCGATCGATAATAATTACACAAGCCTGTGCGAGGCGACGCTCGATTAGACTTAAATTAATTTTTTCCAGTCGCTGAGCGAGCGATTATCGATTCTCGCAGCCGGCACCGGAAAATACATCGCGCGCGCGCGCTTACGAGAAAACGATCGGGAACACTGAATGCCCATGGAACTCGTAATTGCTCCGGTAGAAATCGAACAAAGGGGATTGAAACAACGGGACGTATTGTCGAATGCTCTCGTACCGGAGATCGTCTAATGAAATGTGAGGCCGTGTCCCGACTGCTGAAGATTTCTCGCTCTCGGTTCGTTAAAGCGGTCGGCGAAAGAACGATGAAATCGTCGCGAACGTTTTCACGAACGCTATGCAAAATTTTATTAACGAGAATCTTCGTTTCCTTAATCGTCGTGCTTCGACGATTCTAACGCGTGGAGATTTTTGTTAATAATTGTGTTGCATAGACGTTATTCCGGTCTTTTAAGCCTCTTTCATCAATATTCAATTAATATTTCAATTAATCAACGAAATAAATGTATTCGCACAGTAATCCTTTTTATAGTAAAAAATGATTAGAATCGAGAAAGAAAATGATACGGTTAAATAGAGAACCAAAATTTAAGTTGATCATCTAAGGACTTCATTTACGAATATAGTAATTCCGTTCTCTAAGCGTAAAGTCGGTCTTCACGAAGATCGCGAGATAGATCCGCGAAAGATCACTTTAATGGCACGGCAACATTTCGCCATCGTGTGTAATATCGTCGAATTAAAAATACAAGTTGACGTCGGAAGGAAAAAGAGTTGCTAAAGGTCGGCCGAACAGAAATATATCCTCGTTAGAAAAATTTTCGCAACAGACTAACAGGCGCATAATTTGCAACCCACTTTCACGAAATGGCGATCAGTTTGCGCAACAATTCGTTCGAAGAAAAAAAAAACATCTCTCTAGTAAATATTTACATTAAATTCTCCCGGATTTTCCTTCAGCTTGTAAACAAAAATGAACGATTTGAGAAGATGAGATACGATTATTCGAGTTTTTCACCTCGTTTCCACAATCATGGACAATCGACAACTGCAAAAATGAGCAGCGGGGCTCGAATAATCGTATCTCTTATATTCCTAAATTCTTCATTTTTGTTTACAAACTGTAGGAAAATTGGGAAGAATTTACCGTAACTGTTTCGCTTCGTCGTATTGTACGGTATTCGCATCGGTTCGCGATTGTGAATGCAGCCGGCTTGAGGGAGAAATGCTTTTATAATTAGGACGCCGCGATGCGTCCTTATTATTTTTCGCGACGAAAAATGGTGGTTTGAATCAACAATCGGCCGAAGAGTGCGCAAGGTTTAAAGAGAGCACTGTGCCATTATTTGCTTCGTTAAAAGTTTCGTTCAACGCCTGTCGGCAAGACGCACAGCACCTCGCTCGTCAGCCCGGCCTGTTAATAACCCTAATGAGTATATTCACGGTCTAATAGAGAACTGTCTCATTTAGCGCTCGCCGGAACAGAAACGGAGATAACAATTAGCCGGCGGAGCGAATCGAGTGGGCGTCCCGAACACCCCGGAGTACACAGAGGCGACAGGCACAACCGCCTATCGGGTACCCATCAAATCCTCCATCAACCGGCCGGGTACGTGATATTGCCGAACTTTTGCCGCCTCCGACACCTTTCACGTGCCTCTGTCATTAACCCTTCGCGGCTCGAGATCGTTCACACGGCACTCACCCCGTTAA